TTGCAGTGTTTGTATAGGGATTGCAGTGCTCGTACAGGGATTGTAGCGCTCGTATAGGGATTGCAGTGTTTGTACAGGGATTGCAGTGTTTGTACAGGGATTGCAGTGTTCGTATAGGGATTGCAGTGTTTGTACAGGGATTGCAGTGTTCGTATAGGGATTGCAGTGTTTGTATAGGGATTGCAGTGTTTGTACAGGGATTGCAGTGTTCGTATAGGGATTGCAGTGTTTGTATAGGGATTATAGTGTTCGTATAGGGATTGTAATGCTTGTATAGGGATTGCAGTGTTCGTATAGGGATTGTAGTGTTCGTATAGGGATTGCAGTGCTCGTATAGGGATTGCAGTGCTCGTATAGGGATTGCAGTGTTCGTATAGGGATTGTAGTGCTCGTATAGGGATTGCAGTGTTCGTACAGGGATTGCAGTGTTCGTATAGGGATTGCAGTGTTCGTACAGGGATTGCAGTGTTCGTATAGGGATTGCAGTGTTTTGTACAGGGATGATGCAGTGCTCGTATAGGGATTGCAGTGCTCGTATAGGGATTGCAGTGTTCGTATAGGGATTGCGCAGTTCTCGTATAGGGATTGCAGTGTTCGTATAGGGATTGCAGTGTTCGTATAGGGGATTGCAGTGCTCGTATAGGGATTGCAGTTCTCGTATAGGGATTGCAGTGCTCGTATAGCGATTGCAGTGTTCGTATAGGGATTGCAGTGTTCGTACAGGGATTGCAGTGTTTGTACAGGGATTGCAGATGTTCGTATAGGGATTGCAGTGTTTGTATAGGGATTGCAGTGTTTGTACAGGGATTGCAGTGTTCGTATAGGGATTGCAGTGTTTGTATAGGGATTATAGTGTTCGTATAGGGATTGTAATGCTCGTATAGGGATTGCAGTGTTCGTATAGGGATTGTAGTGTTCGTATAGGGATTGCAGTGCTCGTATAGGGATTATAGTGTTTCGTATAGGGATTGCAGTGTTCATATAGGGATTGCAGTGCTCGTATAGGGATTGCAGTTCTCGTATAGGGATTGCAGTGTTCATATAGGGATTGCAGTGCTTGTATAGGGATTGCAGTGTTCGTACAGGGATTGCAGTGTTCGTATAGGGATTGCAGTGTTTGTATAGGGATTGCAGTGCTCGTATAGGGATTGCAGTGCTCGTATAGGGATTGCAGTGTTCGTATAGGGATTTCAGTGTTCGTATAGGGATTGCAGTGCTCGTATTGGGATTGCAGTGTTCGTATAGGGATTGCAGTGTTCGTATAGGGATTGCAGTGTTCGTATAGGGATTGCAGATTGCTCGTATAGGGATTGCAGTGTTCGATTATATAGGGATTGCAGTGTTCGTATAGGGATTGCAGTGTTCGTACAGGGATTGCAGTGTTCGTATAGGGATTGCAGTGCTCGTATAGGGATTGCAGTGTTCTCGTATAGGGATTGCAGTGTTCGTATAGGGATTGCAGTGTTCGTATAGGGATTGCAGTGTTCGTATAGGGATTGCAGTGTCTCGTATAGGGATTGCAGTTTTCGTATAGGGATTGCAGTGCTCGTATAGGGATTGCAGTGCTCGTATAGGGATTGCAGTGCTCGTATAGGGATTGCAGTGTTCGTATAGGGATTGCAGTGCTCGTATAGGGGGATATGCAGATTGCAGTGTTCGTATAGGATTGCAGTGCTCGTATAGGGAATGGGAATAAAGATATACATGCCACCGTTTTTTCCATATAGTAAGATGGCGGATTTTCGATTTCCTGCCCTTGATGTGGGACAGAATATAAGGAACCACCTCTCAGACATCTTGATCCCTTGTGAAAAAGTCCAGGAAGTGTGACAAAACACGTTGGGACACGCAACGTCTAAGCACTCACGCAAAACCGGAAGTGTGGTGGTGGCCATTTTGGAAGTGGGAACATGCGGTTCTCTATACATAGGACTACACCTGAGCTGTTCTGAATGCTGGAAGCTGATATTCTTCAATTGTAATGTAAGATATTCAATAAATATTGACTTCTGTTACTATATAGCGCTGATTGTCTCCTATCTCACCTGATGAGGAGGAATATGGAAGAGTGCCAACAGGAACATTAGGAAGCCTGGAGAGTGCGACTATCCCCTGAAAGCCTGGGATTTATTTCCAGAGGGGAATGATCCATTGTTGCACCAGTTGGAGGAGGAGAGCTTTATTGTTCACTATTATTGAGTTTGTAGAGCTCACTATTAGAGATTTGGGTTATTCTCCATTCTCACTATTTGGAGGTGATCACGTTTCATCGTTTGGACTTGGAATGGTCACTCTTCTGATTCTTGTCACGAGTGTATTTACATATTCAGAGATTGATATATTGGTAGAGGAATTGTTTTTTCACGTGTGAGCTCACGGTATGCAGTTGGCATGATACACGGTTCTTTCACTATTTTACATGTATGTTCAGTATAAAGGTAATACACTATCAGAAGTTTATTTTTTTGAGGTTCACAAAGAATTTTGGAATTTCCATACTGGATGATTAAAGATGATACGAGTTTGCTTTGGAATTTGGAAAGACATCTTTACAGAGACATTTTGGACATTTATTTTTTTGGGACATTTAGACTATATAATTTTTTTTATTGATATATTTTTATTTTTTTTTTTTTTTTTTATTTTATTTTAATTTTATTTTACAATTTTTTTTTTATTTTATTGTATATTGGGATAGATTCATCTATGTGTTTAAAGAAGAGTTTAGTTACATGTTCATTTATGTACCGTATTGCATGACCGCGCAATTGTCAGTAAAACTAGTGCAGTGCTGTATAGCAAAAAAAATGGTGTAAATTCCATTATCTCTCCCATAGTTTGTAGACGCTATAACTATCACACAAAGCAATCAATATACACTTATTGGGATTTTTTTTTTACCAAAAACATGGAGCAGAATACATTTTGGCCTAAATTTATAACTAACTTTGAGTTTACTATATATTTTTTATAGCCAAAAGTAAAAAATATTTTTTTTTTTTTTCAAAATTTTTGGTCTTTTTTTGTTTATAGCGCAAAAAAAATAAAAAGCGCACAGGTGATCAAATACCTCCGAAAGAAAGCTCTATTTGTGTGAAAAAAAGGACATAAATTTCGTTTGGGTGCAGCATTGCATGACCCGCGCAATTATCAGTTGAACTAGTGCAGCGCCGAAAGCAAAAAGAGGCGTGGTCAGGAAGGGGGGTAAATCCTCAGGAGGGGGAGGGGTTAAACTCTCCAGTATCTTCCCAACTATAGAAGTTACACTAACAGCTCTATAATTACTTGGGAAAGATTTTGTCCCCTTTATAAATATTGGCCCCACATTGGCCTTACACCAATCCAGTGGTACTATGCCAGTCATTAAAGTCCCTAACAATGAGAAACAATGGCTGTGAGATGACAGAGCTGAATTCTTTAAGGCCCCGTGGGTGTCTGCCATCCGGTCCAGGGGCTTTATTCACCTTTATTCTGTACAAATATTTCTGGATCATATCAATTGTGAGCCAATGTGGATCATCTGGGGGGTGTCAGTACCACCCCCCATTATGGACAAGAGCCCCCCCATGCTCCTTTGTATACACAGAGCTGAAGAAGGGATTTCATACATTGTCCTTCTCTTTGTCCCCCCCCCTCTAGATGGTTCTGTAAAGGGCCTACATGCTGGGACCGGACCTTTCTACTATTCATATATTGGAGGAATGTTTTGGGGTCGTCCTGATATCTTTCTGTCGTTTGTTTTCAGTTTTTTGCCTTTATTTCCTTTTTGCATCTTCTGTTCTATTCTTTGTAATGTGTAAACGATGATCGCGTTCCTTCATTGTTATATTTAATAAAAGCTCTTTTCTTATTATCTATCGCTTTTGTAACTTTGGCCGTAAGCCACATAGGTTGGATTTGTAGCCTTTTATACTTGTTGCCCATGGGAATATATTTTGCAGTGTGGTCACACATACAGTCTTTTTGAAGAACTCCCATTTCTGTGTTGTGTTCATTCGATGCAATATTCCCTCCAGTCTAAGTCTTGGAGAGCAGCTCTCGGAAAATTAGCTCTCTTAAAGTTGAGCGTTTTTTTTTTCCCGTATGTGCTCGCTGTTTACAGCTAACAATAAATGAAATCATGTTATGGTCACTGCTACCCAGATGTTCTTTTATATGGACATTCGTAATAAGCTCTTCATGGTTTGAGATGACCATGTCCAGCAGAGCATCATTCCTAGTTGGGGCCTCTATGAACTGGACCATAAAATTGTCCTGTAGTAGTTTTTATATATTTTTGCCCTTTAACTGTTCCTGCAGTACCATTACTCCAGTCACTTTTCTGGGTAGTTACCATCCCCCATTATTATCACTGTCCCAGCCCTTGCAGCCCTTTCCATCTGTGTGAGGAGCTGAGTCTCCACCTCCTCATTAACACTGGGAGGCCTATAACAAACTCCAATGATGACCTTTGTAGTACGCCCCCCATGTGCAGTTCCACCCATAATACTTCAGCCTCATCACACTCTCCATCAACTAGGTCCTCTTTCACACTCGCTCTGAGATCACTTCTCACATAGAGACAGACACCACCACCTTTCCTATTTCCCCCGTCTCCGAAAGAGAACCTAGCCAGGAATATGAATGGCCCAGTCATGTGAGGAATGAAGCCAAGATTCAGCAATACCAATTCAATCCTAGTTCTCTTCATGCACCAAACCTTCCAACTCACCTATTGTGCTGGGCACACTTCTGGTATGGGGAACAAACACTTTCATTCACTGACACCTTGTTCATTCACTGACACCTTGTCCATTCACCGACACCTTGTCATTCACTGACACCTTGTTCATTCACTGACACCTTGTTCACACACGGATTTTGTGTATTTTTTATTTTCCTACAAATGCTACCAATTCCACTGGTTGTTTGTAACATGGGAACCTTCTTATCATCTGCCATAGCCCTCCCCCCATTCCATCCCCTAGGGGTACTGACCCCTGTCTGATCTGTCTACCTCTTTATAATCCCAGATGTACAGGAAGACAGGACTTCAGTGAGGAACATTTCCCTCACTCTGGACAGGAAAGTGGCTTCACCCCCATGTGAGTTCTCTGATGTCTGTAAAGATTGGACTTATCTGAAAAACATTTTCCACACTCAGGACAAGAATATGGCTTTTCCCCCGTGTGAGATCTTTGATGTGTGTAAAGATGGGACTTCACTGAAAAACATTTCCCGCATTCAGGACAGGAATACGGCTTCTCTCCCTTGTGTGAGATCTCTGATGTCTGTAAAGGCTGGACTTCAATGAAAAGCAATTGCCACACTCAGGACAGGAATACGGCTCTCTCACCTGTATGAAATTGCTGATGTCTATAAAGATTGGACTTCTGTGAAAAACATTCCCCACACTCAGGACAGGAATACGGCTTAAATCTTCCCCGTGTGAGATCTCTGATGTGTGTAAAGATTACACTTCATGAAAAACATTGCCTGCACTCAGGACAGGAATACGGCTTCGCCCCTGTGTGAGATCTCTGATGTGTGTAAAGATTACACTTCACTGAAAAACATTTCCCGCACTCAGGACAGGAATACGGCTTCTCCCCTGTGTGAGATCTCTGATGCTTGCAAAGGTATGACTTCACTGAAAAACTTTTCCCACACTCAGCACAGGAATACGGCTTCTCCCCTGTGTGAGATCTCTGATGCTTGTAAAGATAGGACATCAGTGAAAAACATTTCCCACACTCAGCACAGGAATATGGCTTCTCCCCCGTGTGGGACCTTTTATGCACATTAAGACGGCATTCATAAAGGAAACCCTTCCCGCACTCAGTACAGGAGAAGCTCTCCCTGTTGGAAGGCCGGCCCGGTCCCGCACAGTCTGAGGTTCCTCAGGATACGAGGAATCCGATGGTCCATCTACACTGGGTGGTGCCGGATGGACATTGGAGGGAGCCGGGTTTTCTCCTGGACTATACTGTGTGATGTCCTCATCTTCTACTTTCCAGTCTGGAGACAAAGTGAGACAATCCTCGGAGGTTTTCCTCATCTCCCGGCCATGGACTAAAATACAAAGACAAAGAGGATTACTAGACAGGAGCTGATTGGTTCCCCCAAACCAGGACTCCCGCCCACATCAGGCAGCTTGGTCTTTGAGGAGCTTACAATTCCACCCTCAAGGGAACTAGGAAATGGCTCCTCTGATCTCCTACCAGGTCATTTCTTTATTCATGGACCTTAGTCAGAGAGTGAGGAAACAACCAGAACTGTCTTTTATAGGAGGGACAGTGATGAGGGGATTATAGGACGAGGGTCCCCACCCCCTCTATCACTCATCGCCATCTTCCCAACACAAGAAGTACTGCACTTCCTTATTTAGTCCATGATTTAGTCATGAAGAACAGCGGGGCTGAGCCCCACCAGAGGTCAGAGAGTGAGGATGGGGGGATGGGGGGGAACAACCAAGATGAAGACTGGACTGATCCTGAAGACCACCATCATTGGGGTATTGACTCCTCCCTCATTATCACTTTCTGTTTAAGGGTCCAAAGTTGGAGGATGTTATCACATTATTATCACCATGTAAAAGTCTGTGCTCCAATCACATCATCCGATATAAAATGTCCAGCTGGGAGGAAATGGGGGGAACAAAAGAGAATCCATATTATGTGTATATATAGCAGTGGGGGGAGGGGGGAGAGCAGAAGTCATGACTATGGGGAGTATATAGCAGGGGTCAGGAGTATGTAATGTACAACAGAGTAGTATAGTGCAGGGGTCAGGAGTATGTAATGTACAACATAGAGTATATAGTGCAGGGGTCAGGATGTAATGTACAAATGTATATACAAGGATGTAATGACATAGAGTATATAGTGCAGGGGTCAGGAGTATGTAATGTACAACATAGAGTATATAGTGCAGGGGTCAGGAGTATGTAATGTACATAGAGTATAGAGTATATAGTGCAGAGGGGTCAGGGTAAGTACAACATAGAGTATATAGTATGTAATGTACACACAGAGTAGAGTATATGTAGTGCAGGTATATAGTCAGGGTCAGGAGTATGTAATACAACATGTATATGTGCAGGGGTCAATGTACAACTCAAGAGTATATAGTGCAGGGGTCAGGAGTATGTAATGTACAACATAGAGTATACAGTGCAGGGGTCAGGAGTATGTAATGTACAACAGAGTATATATAGTGCAGGGTCCAGGAGTATGTAATGTACTATTGGGTGGGGGGCACAGCCTCCTTTGGAGTGGTGGGTAGACCCCTGCTGCAGCTCCCCATATCCCTCTTATGTGTAAATCACCCTGTGCCTGTTAGGGGTACAGGGTGGAATGTCCTAGTATTTGTGTAGACATGTATAGGTGGGGTGTGTGGGGGTTGTTCATTGTTGTACATCATGAATATTCTCCATTGTGTTAATGTACAACATGTGTGTCTTCAGGGTGCCAGCAAACTATTATGGGATGTATGGGTGGGGGCACAGTTCCTTTGGAGTGTATTGTCTACTGCCACATGGTGTATCCCATTGTTCTATTGCCTGTGTATTGTCTACAGGGTGCCATGTCCTGTATTGTGTATCCCATTGTTCTATTGTGTGTGTATTGTCTACTGCCACTGTGAGTATCCCATTGTTCTATTGTGGTGTATGTATGTGTGTATTGTCTACTGCCACTGGGAGTATCCCATTGTTCTATTGTGTGTTATTGTCTATCCCATTGTTCTATTGTGTGTGTATTGTCTACTGCCCTGGGAGTATCCCATTGTTCTATTGTGTGGTGTATCCCATTGTTCTATTGTGTGTGTATTGTCTACTGCCACTGGGTAGTATCCCATTGTTCTATTGTGTGTGTATTGTCTACTGCCACTGGGAGTATCCCATCCCATTTGTGTGTGTATTGTCTACTGTGTGTCCCATTGTTCTATTGTGTGTGTATTGTCTACTGCCACTGGGAGTATCCCATTGTTCTATTGTGTGTGTATTGTCTACTGCCACTGGGAGTATCCCATTGTTCTATTGTGTGTGTATTGTCTACTGTATCCCATTGTTCTATGTGTATTGTCTACTGCCACATGGTGTATCTCATTGTTCTATGGTATGTCTTGGTTTGGTGGGGGGTGTTTCCAGCAGCCCTTCCCCCTGATGGGATGGCCTGCTGATGTGTTTCCTGTTACTGGTTGTATTTCCCCGCCCTGTGTATATCTTGTGTTTGTGTTAAAATAAAGCAGTCTCACTTCCTGTCTTAAGAAGAGTCTGGTGCTGTCTATTTCCTGTATGGTCAGCGGTGGTGTCCGTGGATAATGTTCGGACAGGGAAGCGAGAGTCTAACGGAAATACTAGCGCATTTGGGGTCCGGTTCCGTTACAAATATAAATTATACAGTATATATAAAGTGTAAATGTGAGCGCAATATTAAAAGTGGAAAAAAAAAGCAGCCAGCATATAAAGGTAAAACCTCAACACCTTAAAATGATAAATAGAAATAAATATGCAGCGCTAAAAACATATATCTTATAAAGGTAAGGGGGGCGCATGCGCGACCAGGACAGGTGATGGCCATGTTCCTCTGAGGCTCCCTGCTTCCCTGGCCTTAGCGACTCACCCATGGCGCAGCGTCGGCCTCCGAGCGTCCCTGGGTGAGTCACCTCAGCTCTGCACCCGGCCCCCACGATAAGGGAGAGAGACAATGGGGAAGATCGGGCGCTGGAAGCCCCCCTCCCCCCTGCCGAGTGACCCGCGGCCATCCCTGCTGCAGTGGTTCCTCACCAGGCCGCAACCCCGGCCTCTATTACAGCTGAGACCCGGAGAACGAGCTCCGGGCCCCCAGTGGCGGCCGGAGGTACTGCAGCCACCAGCTCTACAGTGCAGCCAGCATCCCCTGCATCCCCACGGTCTCCTAACCCCCAGATGAAGGATCCCGAGCCCCTGACACTGGTAGGGGGGGCAATAGAACACCCTTCGTTGAGCCATCCTCCACTGTTCCTTCACTCCTCACTCCTCATCTTCTCTCACGGTGTTTGCGTTTGGAGGAAAAACTTCAAGTTTTTTTACGCAACATTACCGCCTCTATATCCACCGAAGTGGGCAAATTGGCTTTGGATCTTCGAGGGGAAATAGCTCAGATCGGTGAGCGTGCGGATCAATTGGAGAACAAATTTGATGAATTGGTGCAATACGTCCATGTCTTAGAAGAAGATAACGTGTATCTGAAACACACCATGTCACAAATCCAGCTCCAACAAGAAGATTTGGAAAACCGGGAACGTCGGCAGAACATCCGTATTCGCGGTATGTCTGAATCTATTGCCGATTCCCAACTCCGCCGACATCTCTTATCCTTTTTCATCGCAACCGCCCCCATGGTCCCAGAAGCAGATTGGCGCATGGACAGGGCCCACCGATCACTAGGCCCTAGACCTGCTGATGGTACCAGACCTCGTGACGTCATCGTCCGCTTTCATTTTTTTGAAAGCAAAGAAGCCTTGCTAGCCTCCGTATGCAACAAGCCTTCCTTGGAATTTATAGGGGACAGGCTCCAGCTCTTTTGTGATCTTTCTCCGATCACCCTGGCCAAACGGCGGGCACTGAAACCAATCACCACGCACCTTCAACACCACTGTGTCCCTTATCGCTGGGGATTTCCCTTCAAGCTGGTTGTCTCCAAAGACAATTCCCAAGTTATTCTACGTGATCTCTTAGAGGCGGACTCCTTTCTGAAGCAATTGGGACTACCTCCTCTACCAGAAGACGCCTCCTCATCACCGCCTACTCCATCTCGCCCTTCTGTTACTCCCAACAAGATTTGGACACCAGTTTGTAGGGTCGGAAGCATTTTTCACGTACTCCACAACGTCCTTCGTCCTCATTCCAGAGATGAGCCTACCTGATGCTCTTCTAGAGTGTTCTCCTGCAGATACTTCGGGGTTGTCCTTTATTCCTCCCTTCTTCCCTTCCCTTCTCTCCCCCCCCACCCCCCTTCCCTCCCCCCCCCCTTTTTTTTTTTCCCTGGCTGAGCCCTTGCTGGGTGCTTTCATTTGCTCTGATTTTCTGGTTTGACGACTGTTATGTTCGGTTGTCGTGTTGCCCCCGATCCCGTCCAGCCACTGGCCTGGACGACTTGGGTATAGTTTTTTTCCCAAGTGTATATCCTCACGGATATCTATGTCTTTTATTGTTATGTTTCCGGTTTATCTATTAATGTCATTTGTTTTTTGTTTAGTTTCATCGATGGTTTTCCATTTACCTTTCCTGCTGGTACACATGCTATATCTATTGTTATTTTGTGATGGCTTTGCGACTTATGTCATATAATGTCAAAGGCCTTAATTCCGTTCAGAAGCAGTGGATGGCTTTGAAGGAATTCCGATCTTCAGGAGCAGACATTATTTTTTGTCCAGGAGACCCATTTTAAATCAACGGGCTCCTTTCGTTTTGCCTCAAGGTTTTTTTTTTCCCAATCCTACTCGGCCTTTGACCCATGGGAAGGCTGGAGTGGCAATTTTGATTCGGACACATTGCTCCCTTCGGGTCGTTTCCTCCAGGGTCGACCACCATGGTCGCTTCATTATTTTAGAATGTACACTTGGTGATACTCCTCTTATCTTGATGAACTTATATGCCCCGAACTCAGGTCAGTTACAGTTTCTTACACAAACACTCGCCAAATTAGGTTCCTTCCCTACTCCACACATGATTATAGGGGGTGATTTTAACTTAATCCTCTCACCACATAAAGATAGGAAGGCTCTTTTTGAGTCTACTCCCTCGAAGCGGCAATGTTCCTCTTCGAAATCTTTTCGTAAGCTGATCAGGGAACATCGTCTCTTTGATGCATGGCGGATCCGGCACCCCCTTCACAAACAATTCACCTTTTACTCCACTCCTCATCGTAGTTATTCACGCCTAGATCACTTTTTTATTTCAGCTCCTCTGCTCCCCCTTCTGGTTTCCTCTGATATCAACCCTATCACATGGTCTGATCATGCCTCCTTGACCTTAAATCTCCTTTTCCCTACTGTTAGGCCTAAGGTGGGTCATTGGCGCCTTAATG